CGCAAACACTTTGGCCCAGCTCGAAGCTAGAGGGTACACACGACGCCTAGCCAGGCAGCAAAGTGGGCGAGCACTTTCCATTTAGGAAAGAGCTTCCCAGCGAGTGAAACATTCAGGCACGGGCCTGGGTGCAAAAAAACACTTTGGCCCAGCTCGAAGCTAGAGGGCACACACGACGCCCAGCCAGGCTCGCCAGCGAGTGAAACATCCGGGCTCTTGCTAGTGCTAGCAGCAGCGCTGCTGGAGCGTGCGCTCACACCTGCTTGCTAGCGCTGGGTGGTGTATGAAAGTGAGCGCAGTTGCGGGGCAGAGGACGTCGGCTTGGAAGTAAGCTGGTGGGGTATGGCGGTGGTCCTTGGAAGGAGGTAGGACGTGGGTGAAGATGTCGAGGGTGAGCATGAGGGGGCGAGAGGGGAAGTGATGTGAGGGCACGTACCTGGTCTTGGCGGGGGTCTACATGGTCGACATCTGCATGTACTTTGGTTGCTGCTGCTAACGTCAACCCGTTGCTTCTTCATTTCGTAGGCTGGTAGTGTAGCTGCAGGATAGTAGTCTGGGCGCTGAGTGCCAATAGGAGGAAGAGCTTTGATTGCATCGTTGTTGGTGGCGAGAGTATGCTTTCATTGAGTTCTTGCTGATTTGGTTCTCCTTTGGTGTGATTTCGGTGCATTTTTGCTTTCTGGACGAATTTCGACTATCTGGCTTTCATTGTGATTTTGCAATCTGGAATTCTGTATTTTGCTATTGCTGCTTTTTTTTTGTTTTTTTTTTTTGCTCATTTTCCTTGCATTACAGAATTAAGATGCATCATGCATATATATTTATCATATTATGTACTCCCAAATATTCCTTTTTCTTTTTTTCTTTCTTTCTGTGGATCATACTCCGCCTTCCCTCTTTGGGGAAGTCTTACACAGAAAACGGTACTCGACAAGAGAAAGTGGATTTTCACAGGACTAGGCGTTGCCACCGAGGGACAAAACTGACGTGCATAACTTTCTCCGCGGCCTTTTGGATAAGTGCAGCGTATCTGCAGTGGTCAGTTTAAACCACCAGTACTTGGCCCAGCTATCCCTGCTGAGCCTGCCGACCCCCTGCGCGCCAAGTTCCCCCGAACCGCCGCGGCGCCGAGCGGCATCCACTTTGGCCGGCGTCTCCAGCCAGGGCGGTCCGGTAGGCCGAAGCGCGGGAAACGCATAGCGTTAACGCTAAGGGCCCGCGGCCGATGTATGGGCCAAGTACTGGTGGTTTAATATCTAATCCGTGGTCCATTTGGCCATTAAAAAAGGTGTGCTCGGGTCCTGAAGTAGAGTTATCTATTAGAGTTCTTTATTCTAGAAGCACAGGACCACCCCTACTCTTTAGCCAAGGAATTTCGTTAAACCTGGGGTTAAGATCCGGCGGTCAGATTTTGCTTTAGCCGCTCAGAGTCTCACTTGCACTTTGTTCCCTTCATTTCCAGCGATTCAGTTGGAGGAATATCATCTAAAAGAACGGTACATGGGAGTCTGAAAAAAAAAACATTACGCCAATGCTTGCTGGCGGTTTTATCTTACGAATGGGGGCAATCGGCAGACTACCTTCTTCCCCCGAATACAACGTACGGTAATCATAGCTGTATCTGGGGTATCTTTCAGTTAAAATACAACTATAATGACCGTACGTTGTATTCGGGAAAAGAAAGTAGGACTGTGGAGTACAAACCTCTGTTTTTCTTCTATTTTAGTTTGAAAACGTCGAACAGAAGTTGGGGCCGCAACCTTCAAACAGCAAGAAAATGTGTTGTACTCAAAGGTGTTCCTCCTGACCCCTTTGAGCATTTTCAGGATCAAGAGGAATTGGAAAGGAAAAAAGGTAGACGAGTCTCAATCGTCATGTTCAGAGATCCCGTCGGGCACACTGTCCGACTCTCCGACTCTCCGACTCTCCGACTCTCCGACTCCCCGACTCTCCGACTTCGGCAGCCTCTCACAGTCCACAAGTTGTGAGCTTTTGGGACTTCTATGGTCGCCAATTTTTTTTTCCATCCTTAAAAATTATTTCCTCACTTTTTTGAAGTGTCGCACAGGTTGTTGTTGACCATTACTGTTGCACTACGGTACTACTGTCTTCACCCAAATAGAACGCCCGGTGATTATAGCAGCATTTGGTGCAACTTTCGGTCTAGGTGCAGCGATAATGACCGGGCGTTCTATTCGGGTGAAGACATTTGTGGAACCATGGCCCTAGAGTTCCAATCCAGATGATGGATCTAGATTCTAGATAAATGAAAATGAAATTTAGAATTGTTTCTGATTTTTTTTTTACCTGGGGGCAGGGCTAAGTCCAGTAGCAGGGGTTTAGTCTTCCTTCCTTTCGAGTATTTTTTCAAAGTGGCCACAGCTCACCCGTGAGATGTTCATATCGGACGGCACCAGTGCTTACTCGAGAGTCAAAACCAAGTCCGAACCCCCGTTAGTGGGACTTAGGCCCTGGTCTGTTCAATGATGATATCTCAAGGTTGTCGGAACTTGTCGCCCTTTTTTCTTACCCAAAAAAAAATGAACTCAGCTGTAGGGCTTCCCCACCCGTCCCCTCGGCACCCCCCCCTTTTTTTTTAGGGGTTTTGATGGCGCTATCACTCTCATCAGGAAGGGATTGGCAATATATTTCCGTAGAACAAAAATAAACAGTCAACACAGGTTGACTGTTTATTTTTGTTCTACGGAAATATCGGACGGAGGGGCCTCTTTTGGAGGTGATATGAGCACCCGCGGAAAGTGGGTCCTGCCCATTATCAAGGCTCCAGTGTATATTGATGGGGAGTGGTATATGCTCCGTAAGCGGTTCCAGCATCCCATATATGCCATAGACTGGAGCAGTACAAGTATTAGGCCACCAGTAGTACCTTTCCCATATGTCGTCCGCGGGCAGTGTTGGAGGGGCCCGAAACGAAAAGTGGGCCGCCGATTCGATTTATCAACGGCGGGCCTACCCCGCCTGGCTACCGCGTTACCCGGCACGTCTTTAGAATGCAAGCGGGGAAAGGTACTGGTGGTTTAAATCCTGGGCACGCTTAGTGCCAATCAACTGAGATAGTTGGCTTGCGCCCCCCAGTTGGTATTGGTTTAGGGTCTTTGGGCATCATGTGTGTGTGTGTGTGTGTGTGTGTGTGTGTGCAGGGGGGCGCGAAGGGGGGGGGAGTTGTGTGTGGTGTGTGAGTGCTGGCCATAGGCACTGGGCGCAGAAATAGATGGGAGGTGCAGCTACTGGCAAAATGCTGAGTCTTTTTTTTTTTTTGCATTAGCCGGTCTCCCCCACCATCGGCTCTACCTTATTCCCTGACCACCGCCGATTAGAGGCGGGGTGGGGTGGGGGGCAACATGCATCCCTTGATTGTGAGAGGTAGCTATGCTTGCAGGGATGCTCTGAGTATAGGCTCTGTCTCTTATACACATCTAGATGTGTATAAGAGACAGGGGGTGGGGGGCAACATGCATCCCTTGATTGTGAGAGGTAGCTATGCTTGCAGGGATGCTCTGAGTATAGGCTTAGGAAGTTAGGAGCAGTGGTAGGTAGGCAGTGAGAATTGAGAGAAGAATATAG